AGCTGAAGAAAGGCTTTGCATGGAGTTCAAGGGGTTGTTTTTAGCAATAGCTTGGGTCAGCATGATTTGGGCTCAGCGCAGAAGGGTGAAGCTTAGATCCATGGCCCAAGGGGGTGGGAGCTCCAGCAGGCTCAGCCTTAGCTTTGCTGCTGCAGGACTTCCATATGTGCAGTGTTGTGTTGTACGCTGCCTGCATCCCACACTGGGCTCCCGTGGGATGGCTGTGTGGCTTTGGTGTGGCTTTGGGTTGAAGGAGACGCTGTTAGGGCGTGCAGAAAGCCCTGTGCTGCAGGAAGGAGCCCCATGTGAGTCCATAACACGTCCATTGAAACGCCCCGTTCTCAGAGTCTCAGTTTTTAAACGCAAATGGCAAAAAGAAAAAGCACATAAAAGAACAGGAGTAATAATAGTCCAGAGCCTGATGTTAAAGCACGCAGGCAGCAGGCCTGTAACCCCACCTCCCTCCAACAGACATCCTCCTCAGTTCGCTGTGCAGATGCCCACTGACTTTTGGAGTCAGAGGTTTCCCAAATAGAGCTGTTGTGTTTCTGTGTGCCTGTGACAACGCTGTGGAAATAAACCTCTGGCGTCTTCTGTACAAAAATAGGACTTCAAGTGCCTTTGTTACAAAAATCAGAGAACCTGCCCCAGCCCAGGGTCGGATGTGTGTTCAGCAATGCTTTTTTGGGTCAGTGAGAATTGTTCCTGTGGAAGGAGCTGGGCGGGAGGAGCCCATTTTGGCTGTCACTGGCTGTTCTCTGGCTGCCTTGCTCGGCCATGCTTGCTTTCTCCGAGCTTCGTGTTGATCGCGGAGGCGTTCAGGTGGGAGGAGGCCTCTGAGATCCACCTCCAGCCCAGCCTCCCCCCGCCATGCCCACCGATTGCGTCCCCCAGGCCCACATCCCACCTCTGTGATCCCATCTCCAAGAAGGGTCGTAAGGAGGATCTGGGAACCATCAGCCTGAGCTCGGAGCCCAGAAGGGTCATCTTGAGGGAGAGCACATCACATCACACACGGGTGTGGGACAGCCGGAGGACGAGGCCAGGCAGCGTGGGCTGATGAAGGGCAGGTCCTGCTTGAGCAGCCTGTGAGCAGGTGAGCCTCTGGTGGAGGAGGGAAGGGCTGTTGCTGTGGTCTGCCTGCGCTTCAGCGCAGCCTTTGGCCCTGTCTCCCACTGTACGGTGGAGAGGCTGGCAGCCCTTGGGCAGGTGCACTTTTTGCTGGGTAAGGAACTGACTGCGTGGCCAGGCCTGGAGAGTGGTGGGGAGCGGAGTCACGGCCAGCTGGTGCTCGGCCACAGGCGGAGCTCCCCAGGGTTGGTAGTGGGTCTGCACTGCTCCCCCAGTTTGCTGCTGACCCCAGACTGGAAGGACGTGTTGATCTGCCTGGGGGTAGGAAGGCCCCACAAGGGGAGCTGGATAGGCTGATCACTGCGCTGAGCCCGAAGTGATGAACTCCCATTGAACTTTGCAGCTCCTGACTGTGCATCTTCGCAGCGAGGTGACACTGGTTCTGACTGTCAGAAGCACTCAGCTCTTTTAGCATCCCAGCTTATGTAACAGCGTGGAATTTCATCAGGAAAGCAATAAATGCTTCTCCAATTGTCAGCACCATCTGAAATGCCCTCCAGGTTCTTGTGGACCCATCGTATCTTCCTGTTCTTCTCCGTCCAACTCGGTGGTGGATTTTAATTTGCTTTTCCCTGCAGCGAGGTCAGTTTTAACGTAACCTCATCCAGTTCTGGGTGCAGTGCAGGCTGCTGATAGCTAAACCTTTTTCATGTAGCTGCTTGTCTGCCCGTCCCTTTGATCCTGGGGCATGGGTGCAGCTTGTCTGCAGTGCACATCTGCAGGGGTTGGAGCCTTCCAGGGAGCGAGGCAAGAGTCTGAAGTTGCTGCTGTTGGTGGAGCAGTGCGAAGCGGAGGAGCCGGGATGCTCCCAGTGCAGCACACAGCTTCACATGGAGCATAAAACCATGCATGCTCCCAACTCTGCCTGCTGCCAGTGTTCATAGAACCATAGAATGGCCTGGAATGAAAAGGGCTTCAAAGATCACCTAGTTTCAACCCCCCTGCTGTGTGCAGGTCGCCAACCAGCAGCCCAGGCTGCCCAGAGCCACATCCAGCCTGGCCTTGAATGCCTGCAGGGATGGGGCATCCACAGCCTCCTTGGGCAACCTGTTCCAACGTTGCTTCACGTTCCTTGCAGAGGAGGGTAGATGTGCCCTGCTGAGGCTGTGCAGCCTCGTTTCCTTTGTGGTCACCACAGATTGGTGGTGGGATGGGGATTGTTCCACCAAAACTGGGAGAGCTCTCTGTCTCGGTGGATGCCTTTGCGTGCCTGGCATCCCATGGAGATGCTGAACCAGTGCAGCAGTCTGAGCAAATTAGCTTGGGGATCAGCCATATGAAAGAAGCTCTTAAGCTTCTCTTTCCCTCTTTGCTTGCTTTGGCTCTGGCAGGGGCATCCCGTGGCTGCAGACTCATTAACTTAGAAGATACTTAACCTCTAGCTAGAGATCTGCCCTGCCAAGATTAGCATCTCCCCCAGTACAAAGGCTTTGCCACTGTAATCCCCTCCCCACAGTGCTGCTCTCCTGCCCCGTGCCCTGCAGCTTGGTGCGGAGGCACTCTGTGTGCTGGGACAGCCGCGCGTGGTGCTGCTCCGTGTGGATCAGCTCTCAGAGCAGACAGAAGTGCTGGCAGTGGCCGTGCTGAATGTTCTGCGTGTCCGGATCAGCTCGGGGAAGGCTGTGTGCATGGGATCCACGTTCCTGCTTTCAGAAGGGACTTTGCTGCGTAAGTGCTGTGAGGGGAATGCTTTTCTTCAGCTGAGATTTTGTCAGCTGTTACCTTCTGTTGGTTGACCTTAGCACTGGTCATAACGAGGTGTTCAGCTGTGAGCAGAGCTTTAATACTGGAGGTAATAGCAGGTTTGTGCTGTGTTTGCTGCTGTGTGGTGTTTGGAGCACTTGGCTGCAGTGCTCCTTGGGGGAGTTCAGCTGGTGGTTTCTGTTTGCTCTGGGCACATGTGGTCCATCCCATGGGTGCCGCGGTGCTTAGCTCTGCAGAGCTGCGTTTGGAGCTGGGAAATCCTCTTTCCTGTAGTTTTCTGCCATCTCTTTCCTCGTCCTCCACTGGGCTGAGTTCAATGGGGAGGATCCAGGCGTGGGGATGGGGAGGGGGCAGACTGGCTGCAGGTGTCAGCTCTGCAGTTCCGTGGCCGGGGAAGCAGCGCACCACGAGTCCAGGAGTGGTGATGGGGTCGTTGCTGTCTCTTGATGTGGGAGCTGACGCAGCCCGCACTGCGAGGAGAGCTGCTGCTCCCAGCTGCACTGCACAGCTGCTGCTCCTACACCGGCCATCAGCTGTGCCCTGTGCTGCTGGCTGCAAGCAGCGATGTGCTGCTGCTTCTGAGCCCCAGTTTCATCTGATGCCTCATTTGATGTTTCCCATCCAGGGGGCTGGCATCACACTGCACCAGGGGAGGCTCCGTTTGTGTTACAGGGACAATTCCTTCTCCAGAGGGTGATCAGTGCTGGCACAGCTGCCTGGGGGGGGCTGTCACCGTCCTGGAGGTGTTCCAGGGCCAGGGGATGTGGCACTGGGCAAATGGGCAGTGGGCATGGTGGGGGGTGGGTGGGAGTGGTGGCCTCAGCTTCTTCTCCAGCCTGAATGGTTCTGTGATTCCATGGGTGGACACAGTGGGGGTGGGCTGACAGTTGGACTCGGTGATGGTAGAGGTTTGGTGGTTCTGTGATTCTATGATACTGATCACACAGCATCACAGAATGGCTTGGGTTGGAAAGGACCTCAAGGATCATGAAGTTTTAACCCCCCCACCACAGGCAGGGCCACCAACCTCCACATTTCATACCAGCCCAGGCTGCCCAGGGTCCTCATCAGCTCCTGTGGCCATGGCAAATGTGGGCACAAAGCAGCAGAGAACCACTGGCAGAACCTCACTGGGATGCCAGCAGCATCTGTGGGGCTGCATCATGGCCATGGGCATCGCTCCCCTCGTGGGCAGAAACTGCATTTATTCCAGAGCCATTCTCTGATGATGTTTACACATCAGAAGGGAGGCAGTGCTTTGTAATTACAGGCATCACAGTGTGCATTTCCACTCTCTGGCCTTCAGAGTGCATGCAGAGGTCAGTTTATTGCTGTGTAGCTGGGTCAGCACTGCAGCAGCTCTCCTGCAGTCATGAACTCCCATTAAGGCATTAGCATCTGTCTTTCCTCCCTTGTCAGAGCAGGACATTGTCACACAGTCATGGAACCACTGTGTGGTTGGCTTGGAAGTGACCCCACAGCCCCTGCCCTCAACCCCTGCCGTGGGCTGCCTGCCCCCAGCTCGGGCTGCCCAGGGACCAGCCGTGGCCTTGGGCACCTCCAGGGGTGGGCAGCACAGCTCTGGGCAGTGCCAGCATCTAATCTTCCCCTCTTTTAGTCTGAAGCCATTTCCTTTCCAGCTTTCCTTGCCCGCGCGGAAGCCATTGGCCTTCGGTGTGTGGATGCATATGGAGACCTGGTGTTGTGAGCTGGGGGGAGTTTGGGTTTGGGAAGATATCCAAATAAAGGCCTTGCAGGTATTCAGGGAAGGCATTCCCTAAGATGATCTGATCTTCCTTGTAACTGGAAGCAAGCTGTGCTCCTGTTCTTTGCTGCCAGGTGTGGTTGGGGCTGTGCTGCCAGCTCTGGGGGTGAGCTCCCAAAGATGCTGCCATGGGTTGTCCAGCGTTTGGCAGTAGGACAGCACTGTGTGTGAGCTCTGTGTTCTTGGTCCTGTTTGTCATTTTCTGATGCAGAAGTGCCCATTATTCTGCATCTCGCATCTAAACTATGCATCAAAGCAGTAGGAAAAGAGCCATGAACTCTTGGCCAACAGTTGGTGCTGTTTGTTGCCTTTTCGATGCTATATCATTCAGGAATAAATTTTTAATTGTTTTGATTTATTATTTCTGTATTGACTGCACCACTTTCCTCTCCAATTTCAGTGTTCCCGGGAGAAATCATGGATGAAAAGCTGTCCTATAAGGAATTCCTCGACCGCAACGACACGTGGGCCATGGATGACAGAGAGCTGTGCTTTGAGCCACAGCCTGTGTTCAAACCCATGGAGATGGCAGGTATGCCCCTGGTGCTCTCAGCTGTAGCACCACTCCTCGGTCACTTCTGTAACACAGCAGAGCCCTCACATCCATCCCTAAGGCTTCCTTCTCCTGCTTCGTGCTCACACCTTCCTTAGAATGTGTTGCTGTGTTTTCCTAAAATGTGGAACCTCATCACACCAGAGAGAACTGCTGTCAGCCTGGAGCTGAGCCCAGCCCCTGCCCTGCCCTGGAGCGCAGCCTGGCACATCTGCAGGCAGTGCCATGTGCCCTGCACCTACACAGATACCTTTTCTTCCAACACCCACTTTTCTTTTCACACAGAATCACAGAATCACAAAATGGCTTGGGTTGGAAGGGACCCCAAGGATCACGAAGCTCCAACCCCCCACCAATGCAGGGCCACCAACCTCCACATTTCACAGCAGCCCAGGCTGCCCAGGGCCCCATCCAACCTGGCCTTGAACACCTGCAGGGACTTCTCTTGCTTTTGATAAAAAATTATGGGAAATGACTTGCTAGTTTTTGAGGTAGGAAGAATGTATGTGCTGCCCAGACTGCAGCAGGCTGCCAGCCTGGGAAAGACAGTGGCAGAAACAGGACAAAACCTGATGTTTTTAAGGATTTTTGAACACGGCGGACCTGTTCACTAAGTAACCTTCTTGCTGTCTGAATCTTGTATTTTCTAAGATGCTCTGTGAAGCAATTCTGTATTGTTACAATGGTGAGAGATGATTCATGTGACAACTGGAAGCAAAGAGCCTTTAGTTTCTGAAGTGCAGCTTTTCCCCTGTTGCTGTGTTAGATGGAAGAGTGGGATGTTGGAGCTGCACTCCATAGCCAGGTGATGCTACAGACGATGGGGGCGATTTAAATACTGAGCCCATTGCACTGTGTTCTCTTGGCCTGAATGAAATGAATGTGAAATGAAGCGAGTCTGTGGGTTATCTAGTGCAGAAACCATTTTCTAAAGTGTATTCTGAAGCCAGACATTGTACTGGCATCTCAAATAGTCTGATGGATTTATAAGAGATTGCACGATGCTCACTCCAGTGTGACATTTTGGAGCACAATGAACAGTGGCAGTTGTGCTGTCATCTCCTGATATAGCACGTCTGACATTTAAAAATATATTTAAAAAAAAGAGAGATAATGAAAGCCTTCAACTGAAGCTCCTTTAATTGTGCTTAATCCAAAGAGATCTGCGTGGTATCTGAAATCCCGTGTGGGGAATGGGAGGGGGCTGTGAGCCATGGGGAGGTTTGTGTACGAGGGGAAGGCCGTGTTTCCATCCCTTTGCAGCCTTACAGCACATGGCTGTGTTGAGGCACAGTGAGCAGCTCATGGGAAGCTCATCTCTGTGGCATTTCCTTGTCAGAGTGATGGCATTCTGGTGAGATACCCATCTACAGCATACAGGGGGATAAGGGTTCTTGGTGCAGCCAGTTACCATCTGAATTGCAGTCAGTTTTCATTTCTAGGCAGTCTGAGCAGCCAGCCCTGGTTTCTGTTGGCATGCAGTCTAATGATGGAGGTACTGGCCCTCATCTTGCAGGCAGCTTTCCTTGGAGGTCCTTCCCTCTGCCATGCTGATACCACCTCTGTGGTGGCACTGCATGCATCTCTATGCCAACAATCCCATGCCACGTTGTGTCTTCAGCCACACAGTAATGCTGCCTCATTCTGTGTCCCTCAGACCCCTTTGGCATGCACCGAGGGGAGAACCTGCCAGGCCTGTCCTTTCCTCCTGACATGAAGAATGTGCAGCTCTTCACAGACCACGCTGACACTTCCAGAGACATCCATGGTGAGTTCCTCCTCAGCGCTCATTCTGGTGGCCATTTGTTGGTGTCTTCTCCATTGACTTGCATGTGCTGAAAGCTGTTTAGCTGATAAGACCATATCATCTCTTTGCACAGTTATTTTGTGTGCCTGGAGACATTCCAGTGGCTGCTTCCAGGAAGGTCTCTTTTGAAGTGCCTCCCTGTAGAAGGAGATAGGGCACTGCATCCGCTGAGTTGGGCTGGAGTTGCCAGTGGCTCTTACCTTCAGTGCTGAACACCCAATTTCCATGAGCCTTTCCCACCAAGGGAGCTTCAGTGCCTGGGCTTTGCATCTGATGTGCTTGTTAACAGGAATTCGCAGGAGCAGAAGCACTCATTTACTGTCTCAGACCTTGTTGGAAAAAAACATGTATAGAGTTCACAATACGAAGGAGCACCAACTGATCGAGTTGGTGACAAATTTTATGTAAGCTGCTTGTGAGCAGAGCAGTGTCATCTATTTTGCAGGTGCTGTAGACTTAAAATTGTGGAGGGGAGTTGTTAGAGGCAGCACAGGACTGACAAACAGCTTTTTATTTCTTCAGTGCCACATGGGTCTGTGATGGTACCCGAGCAACCTTTCCTGGGGTCCCCCTATTGCCCTGCAGAGGTCTTGGACCCGTCAGCCTTCATGGGCCTCGATTCAGCTGCAGAATTTCTGCAAGACAAAGCAGGTGAGAAACAGATGTTTTGCCATCACCATCTGTCTTACTCTGGTTGGGTTTGGAGGATGTGCCTCTGGAAATTCTCAATGTAATACTCCTAAAGAACCTTGGGGGAGGTATCACAGAATGATAGAATGGCCTGGGTTGCAAAGGAGCACAGTGCTCCTCCAGTTCCAACCCCCTGCTGTGTGCAGGGTCACCAACCAGCAGCCCAGGCTGCCCAGAGCCACATCCAGCCTGGCCTTGAATGCCTGCAGGGATGGGGCACCCACAGCCTCCTTGGGCAACCTGTTCCAGTGCCTCACCACCCTCTGTGTGAAAAACTTCCTCCTCATATCCAACCTAAACCTCCCCTGTTTCACTTTAAAACCATTCCCCCTTGTCCTCTCACCATCCACCCTCACAAACAGCCGTTCCCCTCCTGTTTATCCGCTCCCTTCAAGCACTGAAGGCCACAGTGAGGTCTCCCTGCAGCCTTCTCTTCTCCAAAGTAGAACAGGCAGTACAGAGAGTGAGTCAAGTTTCCAAAGTATCCCATTGGAAATCCCAGTCCTTGGTCAGTGTGAATGTTCTAAAGCTACTTTGGAGATGAATATTCCATCGAGCAAAGATTCTCACTTCTCAAAGAGGTGGTGGTTCCCCATCCCTGGAGTCGTTGGGTGACAGAGGATGGGCTCTGAGCACCTGGTGAGGCTGGGGCTGTCCCTGTGCACTGCAAGGCCATTTAGGTTCCCTTCCAGCTCAAACCATTCTGTGGTTCTGTGATTGTCCAGACCTGCTCTGTCAGCTCCTGGGATCAGTGCTGGATACAACTCCTCTGTGATGCAAGCTGTGGTTGTAGTGATTGCAGAAGAGCACAGTGTTCTGATGGCATTCCTAAAGTGAACTGATAAGTTGTTACCCAAGAGTGAAGTCAGAAAAGCAGCAGTTGATCCCTTGAGCAAAGAGCTTTAAAAATGAAGCAGTGTTGGGCCAGGACTGACTGTGTTGTGTTTTCCACAGTGCCTGAAGATCATTGGATGGGAGCTCAGCATTACGCAAAGGGACCGGATGCCTCTTTCTTTGCTGAGCCACCAGGTAAAAATAGTTCTGAGTTGATCTATGGGAACTGTCTGTAGAGTTTGTGAAGAGCAGAAGCAGAGCCTCTGTCCTCATCTGCCTTTCCAAGAAACAAAAAGCAGTGGATAAATGAAAGTCAGATTTTCTGGGGTGGTACAAATCAGGGCTGTGTGTTCACTCCCAAGGGTCTACTTCATTTTGGTAAAGGAGCAAAGAGGAGACCCCTTCAGCACTGCTGGTGGATCTGCAGTGGTTTTGGAGCTCAGGGCTCCCTTAGAGCTGGGTGCTGTACTGCTGGGTGCTGCACAGTGCTGCTGTAGTGCTTCCCATAGCATGCTGTGTGTTCCTATACTGCCCAAATCGTTCCTCTGATGACAGAGGAGCAACTCGCATCCCAAGTCCAGGAGGTGAAGCTGTTTGCTGAGGTCAGTTCTTAATAAACTGTTCTTTGTGCCCAGTGTCCCCCGCAGTCCCCGGAGCAGAAGTGCTGACTGTACCGGAGTGCCCTGCAGCAGCAGCTCCTTACTTTGTTCCTACGGCGTTAGCAGCATCCCCAGCAGAGGCCAAAGCTGCTGAGGCACCAGAAGGTAACACTGCACTCATCTTTAGGGTATTTATTGATAGACAGCAAGGGACTCGTGCTACATGTTTGTTTCCTCACCATTTTATTCAGCAGTAAAATCAAAATCCTTAAAGAGAACAAAGGAACCACCCCCCTTTTGGTTTTGTTCAGTGGAATGTTGGTTTTATCACAGTGGGACTTCATTGATTTCCCTAATGGCAGTGAGTAGAGATTGTTTTTGAACCTCAGCTGTGCATCTCAGGTATCGGGGTCACCACGTAGAGCTGCTGCCTGCAGTGGCTGAACCTGAGGGCAGCACTGACACTGGGGCTCCTGATAATGTGGCCTTTCATAATCATCACGGAATCACAGAATGGCCTGGGTTGCAAAGGAGCACAATGCTCATCCAGTTCCAACCCCCTGCTATGTGCAGGGTCACCAACCAGCAGCCCAGGCTGCCCAGAGCCACATCCAGCCTGGCCTTGGATGCCTGCAGGGATGGGGCATCCACAGCCTCCTTGGGCAACCTGTTCCAGTGCCTCCCCACCCTCTGTGTGAAAAACTTCCTCCTCATATCCAACCTAAACCTCCCCTGTCTCAGTTTAAAACCATTGCAAGCTAAAGCTGGAAAATTCCCTTCAGGGGATCTTTGTGAGCACCAGCTTAAGTGCAGAGATATCTGATAGTGCTAGGAGCTGGCAAATGTTATTTTGAAACCAACAGCTCAAGTCTTAGTAGATAATGTATAAAAATGAACGAGGCCACGTTGGGTATGGAAAAACAGAGCAACTGGTGGTTCACTGGAGGTGGTGCCATCTCTATCAATGTGCAGAGAGTGAGAAGAGGGGAGAGGGAGCCCTCTGTTCCCCAGCCATAGCCTGTGCTGTCAGGTGTTCACGTTCTTTATTTTTTGCTCATTTCTGCCATCTGTGTTTCTGTAGCAGATGCTGAGAGCGTTGTTGCCTCGGATGCAGAGCAAGCTGGGCCCGTCCTGGTAGGGGACACGAAGCCTCCTCATGCTGTGGATACTGGATCTGCTCCTCCAGCAGAAGCTGAGCCCCCCCAGGGCACGGATGTGGGCTTTGCCCCTGCAGCAGAGTCCAAACCTCCCAGTGCTGCTGCTGCATCCCCCCCAGTGCTGGATGCTGCCTGGAGCCCAGCAGCAGACACTCAGCCCCGCTGCGCCGTGGATTTGGAGTTCTCCCCAGCAGCAGATGCAGATCCTCACCGTGCTGTGGATCTGACATTTGCCCCCGCAGCTGATGCTGAGTCTCATCGTGCTGCAGATTCGGAGTTTACCTTTCCAGCAGAAGTGGACCATCTTCATGCTATGGATTCCAGCACTGCTCCAGCAGTGGATGCCAAACCTTCTCCTGTAGATTCAAGTTTTGTCTCTGCACCAGAAGCAAAGTCTGTCTGTGCAGCTGACACTGAAATCACTGCACTGAAAGAGCTGGTGACATCCAAGCCCTCTGCTGAGCATGACAAGTCCCCCTCCCACGAAGCTCCTGCAGGTGAGTTCCTGTGCCCAAAAGCTTCCTTCAGCCTTGAAATGATGTGGCAGGTGGCACACCAAGGAGCAGCAGTGGCACCCAGGCTCCTGGTGGGATAATGGAGTGCTGCAGAGTCTGTGGGATGGCACAAGGGGAAATGCTTGCAAACTAATAGAGGGGAGATTTAGATGGATATAAGGAAGAAGTTCATACACTAAGGACAGTGAGGCACTGCACAGGTTGCAGTGAGAGGTGGTGGTGCCCCATCCCTGCAGACACCCACAGTCAGGGGATGGGCTGTGAGCACTGGTGGAGCTGTGGGTGTCCCTGTGCATCGCAGAGGGATGGACTACAGTGCCTTCCAACTCAAACCATTCTGTGATTCTGTGATACAGATCTGCTTTAGCAGGATGTTTAAACTTTCAGGAGGGGAGAGCTGGTAGGGAGTGATCCCAAAGCAGGTTATCACTGCTTCCTTCAGAAGACGGGGATTAATTGAGGAGGTGATTTTATCTTAGTTCATCTGATCCAAATTAATGCCATTTTTTATTCTCTGCATTCCATTTTCAGAAACAACTGCAAGCATGGAACAAGAACCAAAAGCCCCCGAAGGTTATGTTGATGTTTCATTAGAGAAAGCGAAGGACAGCTCACCGTCTGCCAGCCACCATGCTGAGCACCTTCCAGCACCAACCAACCATCTCCCAGAACCCACAGGTGAGGAGCTCAGACCAGCAGTGAAACCACTCTGCTCTCAGCTGAAGGCGCACGAGTTCTTTCTCAGACATTTTTTCTTATTCTCACAAAGGACAGAGCAACAGAAGATTTACTGGTGAGGTTGTGAACATCATGCAGGGAGTGTGTTACAAATAGACCATAGAGTTACAGAACCACTGAGGCTGGAAAAGACCCCTGAGGTCCCCCATAGAATGGCCCGGGTTGAAAAGGACCACAGTGATCATCTCAGTTCAACCCTCTGCTATGTACAGGGTTGCCAACCACCAGACCAGGCTGCCCAGAGCCACATCCAGCCTCATGTCCAGCCCCAGTCCACCCCATCATGCCCACTGACTGTGTCCACCAGTGCTCTGACTTCAGAGATGTCCATTGTGGAGTTTCCTGTTTCCACCCATGTTTGTTGTATCAGCATTTTTCACAGTCTCTGAACCATGGTCTCCAATGTGGGTGTTTTACAACTTGAAGCTTGTTTTAATTGCCAAGCTGGGAATTTGGTAGTGTTTGTGTGGGTATCTTCCAAAGTACATGTGAATATATTCCAGGGTGCCTATGAATCATCGAATGGCCAGGATTGGAAGGGACCTCAAGGATCACGAAGCTCCAACCCC